CCTTAGGTGGAAAACTTCAGCCAAAGCTACTTTGCATAATGCTGCTCACCCAAAAAAGGAAACACTGTGATGGGTTTATGTGCACGCATGGGAGCAGCAGGACAGAAACATCACAGCAAGCCATAAGGAAGCCAGAGGAGCAATTCCTTCAGGCAGGTCAGCTCACAAAAAGGCTCTGGAGATTGACAAGGTCTGGATGAAACATTTTCGTTCATTTTTTGTCCAAGATATCAAACAAGTTGTTCTCACCCAAGTCCTTCCTTATTGGTCAGCGCACTGGCGCATTTCAGTCAGGGTCTCCTGCAGGCCTTTCTACTGAGTTGGCAGAGGCAAGGGAGGGCCAGTTACTTGCCGGAGTCCAAGGCAAACCGTCCATCATCAGCATTGCTCCTGCTGGACTTGCTGGGACATTTCACTATCCTGCATGGGTGACCCGGTTCTTCGTTGTTCATGGTCCTACATTTCCCATCACACATCCTTGGCAGCTCTTCCATTTATCTCTGGGTGTTCCTCAACCTTCAGCCTTAGGTCCACTTTTGTTCACTTTGTCTCTAGGATCTCTGATTTCTTTTCAGGTTAGCTATGATATCTACACCAGTGACATGCAGGCAAACTCTTCTGCCCAGGTCTTGGATGATGAGGCGTGGTCTTTCTTCTCCAACTACTTCCTGGGATTTCTAGTCAGATGAGATCCCACCACCTTAAATTGAATTTAGAGAATTATGATTTTTCATCCTGATTGTCTTGTCCCACTCCTTCTTTTGCTTCTTTTACTTTTCAGGACAGTCAACTGCAGGTGTCTTCTGTACCACAAGATATGTGAGAAACGTTCTTATCGGTGAGAAACTTTCTTTAGAAACGTTGATCAATACATTAAATAAATTTAATGTTCAAATCAATTACAAGAACTTGTAATTTTCATCTTCTTTGTATCTGGAAAATTTCTTTCTTTCTAGAGAAACAGCTCAGCCTTGAGTTTGTGCCTTGGTGATGTCCTAATTCTGGGTTATTACAATTCTACACTTCTTGGCTGGCCTTCTTGATTCTGCTGTCAGCTCTCTGGGTCAGATCCAAAATATAATGGCTTGATGGTTTGTGTGACCTCTTCCCATTCAACCTTATTACTTCTTTCCATTAATCCTGATACTGTCTGGGTTTTGGGGAGCAACACCAGCTTAAATTGCAGGTGCTGACCTTCTACAGGAAGTCCCAGTTATTTGAATCAGTTGATTGTAATTCATGTTCCTATGCATGAATTCCTGGTTGCTCACTCATGGAAACAAGGTTGCACAGATTTTCCTTGCGTTGGAAACTCCACCTCATATTTCAGAAGCTTTTTCCATCTTGTTCCTATTCTTTGGAATAGACCCTCCCTTGAACTATGTTTAAAATCCCATCTGAGGTTTAAAAGGTCCCTCAAGCACTTCCTTTTTCAGCAGCCTTATGAAGCAGGAAGAACCTTTCTTTGCTGGGATTAGAACATGTTGAAGATTGATTATTTTATTGTTATACTTTTATATTGGGTTATACTGTTATATTTTTGTTGTATTTTATATCTGTATTTAGATATAAGTACATACTGAATTTTTTAAATGTATTATTTTTAATTAATTGTTGTATTTGTGCAGCTGCTCATCTCACATAAAAGTAAATAAATGAAGGGTTCCCATTGGTTCAAAAAAAGGGGGGGGAGGGGACCTGGAAGATTACAAATGGAAAGCAAGGACATCTTTCAGTCCCACCCAAACTCCGTAATGAAGTAAGGTCAAAACCTCAGCCTGGAAACCTCCTCTGTTAGTTTTCTGAAGGCTAGAAGAAAGCAAGTGAGCACCTTAGGAAAAGGTGAAATCTGAGATGGAGGGAAACCTGATCAGGGAACTCCACTTCGAATGTGTCTAAGTCTCCAGGACCCTGGGCACAGAGCCAGTGAACATACAACACAACAGAAACGGAGTTTCTGTCATTTCACCTGCTGTGTGAGGAGCTGCACCTGAATGAAACCGGGGTGTCTTAATGACACAGAATGCCCTTTGTTGGACTCATGTTTGTCTAATAACAATTGGCCTGGCGCCCTGCCCAGGATGAAGCCTTGGCCAGGGGATCCTGGGGAGGTGGCGGATGGAGGGTGGAACGTACCTTGTTGTTTGTCCTCAGATCAAGATCAGAGGAATTACCACCTGGGAAACTGGAGGAAGTGGCTGATGAACTGTCTAAGCTCTCATGGACTTCCTTTAAGAAACTGGATGTCAGGTGAGCAAATATTGTCCATGCCTTCAGAAAGAGGAAAGGGAAGATTCAGCCACCTATTGACCAGTACGTCTGATAGCAATACCTAGTGTAGGTATCTAGGATAGAAAGAGATGTATCTGTAAGCCCCTAGGGAAGAAATAAACAGTAATCCTTAGAAGTCAGTATGGTGTCCAGTTCTTTAATTAGGTTGCAGAGAAACTGGAAGAGGTTCAGAGAAGGGCAATGAAGACAATCCGGGAACTAAAGTTAAGACCTGCGAAAAGAGATGGAAGGATCTGGCTAGGTTTAGCCCTCAGAAAAGATGACTGGGGATGGGGGTGGTAGTGATGTTCAAAGGTCAAGAGCTGGTCTCTCCCATTCCAGAGTGCACAACATAGCATAACGGATTTAAATGATGGAAAACAGGATCCCCTCGCATGTTAGGACTCCATGGTTCCAACTCTAGGAGACCCTGGCAGTATGGCGGAGAAAGCCTTTTGCAATTTGCAGACTGATTGTGTGTGTCTTTCCCAAATCTCCCGCCAGTCAGTTTGTGTGATGGGCTGATGGGCTGACTCAGAGAAGGGAGAGGAAAAGGCTGAACCATCACAGAAAAGAGATGTGAGTCCTGGGAAAGTAGAAAGTATGAGAAAGGCCCTCGAAACAATTCTGCCTTGACCACGTTAAGAATAAGCTTAAGCCGAGAGGGGCTGCAAGAGGGTTTCCAGCTTCTGTCCCATGGCCCTCGTGGCGATAAAGTCCATTGAAGACCTCCTGGTGACTCCTGTCTCCTGGCCTTGCCTACCTCAAAGGCTTAGAGAGAATATAGGACATACCAGCTAAAGGAGGGGATTTCTTTCATCCCATGGCTGCAGCAAGTTTTCCACTTCCCCCGAGACTCCGCATTACTCACAGGACTCTTCTGAGGCAACTCCACTGCTGAGTCATTCATGGGTGTTGTATTATTTGGGTCATTTTTAAAACCCCTTTTTCTTGTTTCACCTTTAGCCAGAAATGTGTGCCTCATTACACTGTTGCTCCACCCACTAGTGAGTAAGCAATGGTGCCTGCTGTAATCAGGATTGCCACCACAGGCAGAACTGAAACTCACTCATGCGCAACCGTTGTGCAGGATGTCCTTTGCCCTCTCAGTTGCAGCAGAAGAGTCACCCGGTTCATTTCTCTCACTTGTGCTGCCGGCCTGAGGATACTGGCAGCGGGAGGGAAGGGGGCTGCCATGTTTTCTTCTTCCAGGATGCTCAGGGGAGGTGGAAAGACCGCACTGAAACCCTTTACCAACGGATGCTTGGAATGGCAGGGACATCTGCAACGGGGGAAGGGGCTCAGGAACCAAGTTCACTCGAAATGAGGTCTAGGCGAAATGGATCAGCAGTCAGCCAGGAAAGCTCCAGAGACAGATTAGGGAGCCCCGGCTGCTAAGTTGCTGCGTTTGGGCCTCCCATTCCAGCAAAACTTGGTGGTGAATGGCAAAATCATTTAAATCTGGTCCCTAGCACCCCTGGATCCAGGAGACAGAACCGGAATGACCAGCCAGCTCGGCGTACCACCCTGGACCTGATAACCCCCACAGACCCTCCCGCAGGCTGATTTCCTTCTGCCCGTTGACTCGCAGGCCGGCAACCTGATACTCTCCATAGGGCACAGCAGCCTTTAGCCTCCAACCACGGTTAACGAGGGGGTGCAGCTAGGCTGGCGATGCATCTGTTTCCCTCCCGTCGCAGTCTATAACCTGCTGCTCCGTTTACAGCGTCATCTGCCTTATTGCGCGCTCATCATCTGGTCATTTAGTCCTTGTATGTTGTTTTATGCTGCTGGCCTTTGGCCATAATAGAGAATTACGACTACCGACTAATCTATTTAAAGCTGCAGGAGAAGAGGTATTTAAAGTGCTAACAGCGGTATGTCATCAAATATGAAAAAGACTGCATACCCTAGAGATTAAAAAAGTGAGCATATAGCTATACGAATGAAGATGCAAGCAACTGTGCCAATGACTGAATGATTGGACTAATTCCTCAAGCAAGGAAAGTTTTATTTAAGATGTTACTGAGAAGAATAGAGCTATACGTGGAGATGGGAACGCCAAATGAACAGAAAGGACAGAAGGAATGAGATCAGACCACTAATGTAAGGTAGATAATAAGCAGACCAAGATAATGTAAGGAAGAGGCTTACTTTTGCGTTATTGGAGATAGCAAGGTCAATCATGCCAGAATATGGAGCGTATTAAGGCTAATGGGTTTTTAGAACACCTGTTTATTCTCCTGAGAAATGTTTGTAATGTACAAGCAACTATTCTAGAACAGAGTACCAAAAAAACAGAATGATTCAGAGGAGTGAAGGAAGTGCAACAAGAAAACGTATTATCTAACTTTTACAGCAAAGATAAGAACACCAGAATCAGAAGAAATGATAGCTGGAATCAAAACTGGAAGCCAAAACATGAAATATTGAAGATAAACAAACTACATCAATTGGTTAGCTAAAAATAATATAATAGATTATATGTATTATATTATATTATTAACATTTATATCATATATCATAGTTGGAAAAACCCAACAGGAGAGAGAAAATCTTAAAATATTAAGAAGGCAAAAATAATGTCAATCAGCACGCTTAATGAATTTACAGTTGATGGCAAAGAAATGAAGGTGGCAGTTCTCCCTTGTTGCACTCAAGAACAGATAAAGATGGACAGAGCGCTACAGAAGGAAAAGGACGTCAATCCTATGGCAGAAGGCAGTGACTGACGTATGAAAAATCATGAAGAATACAGGCATTTCTAGGATTACAAAGATCAGAACAGTTAAAGAAATGGTCTTCCCAATAGTAATATGTGACTGTGAAAGCTGGACAATGAGCAAGACTGAGAGAAAGAAGCCTGATGCCTTTACGTTACGGATCGGAAAATGGTTAATAAAAGCACCGTCGTCTGCAAGAATATCCAGTCAATCAGCCCTGGAAGAAGTAAAGATTGGCAGCTTCCCTGAGTTAATGATGAGCAAGCAGAAACTCACATACTTTTGTGATGTAAATAACTGAAAGATAAAATAATAATAATAACAACAACAACAACAACAACTGGGTTTGGCAAGGTTAAGGGAACAGGTGGATAGGTGGGATCAAGGAGATTGCTAGAATGTCCTTGGAAGAACTAGATGTTATGATTAGAGGCTGGTCAAGAGGGTGATCATTTGTCCAGGCCAGGGTTTCTCAGCCTCAGCAACTTTAAGATGGGTGGACTTCAACTCCCAGAATGCTGGCTGGGGAATT